ACCCATTTACATCCCAATAACTCTTCGTAACAAGGGATTGAACATAGACATACAAGCTCGAGCATACAACACATGCCAATTATCCCAATTCCAATAACTTTTCGTAACAAGGGACGAGTCATCGACACATACGTATTTCAATCAAAAACCTATAGACTATTCAATTACGAAATCATCTACCTCATGAGAGCCTAGATCTACGACTTCTCCCCTTTCGGTTCAAAAAGTCGCTAATTTAACTAGAAGGTGTTTAATCAACTAATCGTTGGAATCAATAAAACCAAACTCGACTACTCAATATCCAATTATTACCAACTGCAAGATCGAAGCGTCACCCTTCGATTACATCAAACTATCAAGCAAAATTTCATCAATTCTTAATCAAATTAACCCACACAAGACTGAACAATTCAAGCCCGAGAGACACGAATTAAATCAGAACAATCATCCCCTATACCTAGCAATTAGATTCAGCTACTTAGATCAAATTAAATAAACATAATAATTCTTGTCAACCTAACCATTATTCATGAATTAAACAAGAGAAAGAAATACTTACAATCAATCCAAGATCAAATGTTGAATTCGAGGTACAAGCTTAATCTGAAGAAGAAAGAGAAAAAATGAAGAATAAAGATAAAACGAAGAAGAAAAATGGAGAAGAAGAAGAGAAGGAAAGAGAAAAAGAGTGTTCATGAATTTTCTCGGGACTGATAGTGCATAGAGAAATATTTATGTAGACCGGTGGAAAACGGTTCGCTTTATTGGCCGAGTGGATATCAGCTCAGGTTATGGGCCGAGCAGATGCGATTCGGTGTGGCATGTGCTCGGCCCACTAACAGCTCGGTTAGGTTTAGTTGGACGTGTAGGTGACTTGACCGAGTAGATGATTTAACATATGGGCTTGGCCCAATAACAGCTGGGGTAAAGCGTATGAAGAAAGCAAGGACGTGACATATAAATATGTGGATCTGGTATGACGGGAGGTATGAGTTTTTACTTTACAAAACCCTAATATACAAAATGTGCTTCTCTTCGATACCCTACTAACTTGAGCGTCGGAGGTTTGCCGCCGGGAACACTTCCCGGCGTCCTTGCAGGTGTCCGAGTGCTCAGGCGATTGGAGATCGAAGAAGGCCGGTCCAGTGTGCAATATCACATCAGGGACCTAGGGTTTTCACCCGGTCGAGAGACGTCCCAAATTCTGATCGCGATCCCATATTTATATGAGTCGCAGGTCATGACGCGAGAAAAATCTGGCCGGGCGAAAGAGTGCATGTGCCACGGCATGAAGGAGTGCTGCGGCGTGCTGCTGGGATGTGCCCCGACACGACAGTGTAGCGCGGCGCGACAGGTGAAGGTGCCGCGGCGTGATAGTGTAGCGCGGCGCGACGGGTGAAGGTGTCGCGGCGCGGGAGTGTAGCGCGGCGCGAGGAGCAGAAAGCTGGGGTCTCTGTCGACCTCATGGCAGCAGTGCGGCGCGACGTGTGCGTGAGGCTCGTTCTTGCCGCGGCGCGATGGTCTTCGCGGGCAGGGCCTGCTGCTACCTTTGGTGCACGTTTTCACGTCTCGGGCCCGTTTGAACTTATTTAGCCTCAGAATTTGATTCCGTTTTTTTTCTGTGTGATGCCAACGAAACGCTCTCTTTAATTACGCTTGCCCAGTCAATTTTTGCCCAAAATATGGTTCTCTCGAGGCTTTAGACCTACACACCAAAAATGAAAGAAAACTAGAAAAATACACGAAAAACACAAAGAAAACCACAATAGCGCGAAACACACAAAAAACACTAAAACAAGCTAAAACCTTATGAAAAGACCTAACATGGGGGAAAAAGTAGGACAAAGTGACAACGAAAAATGTAATAAAAATGGGATAAATAGTGGACAGTAAGTGATGCAACCTGGGGTCATGTGGCTGGTCTTATCCTTCTATAGTCACTCAATAGAGTTCTTCAATATCAGTAGGATTTTGGTGCACCAACTTGAAGAGAGAAGGCCCTGATATGAATTTTTAATCTGTTACTCCAGTGAGTGCTTGTATCTTTATCCTTTTTCCCACCCCACTGATTGTCGCCGTCATTTTCTCATAGTCAAATTCAATTGGAGGGCAAGATTTAAGCCAGTCCCCTCCTAAAATAAGGTCACAACCTTCACTCTGTAACAACCTAAGTGGGTATGTGAAGGTGTTTCCTTGCATTTTCCACTTGAATCCATCCACCACTTGTGAGCTGACCATTCTCTGGCCATTGGCCACCCTTACCAGTAATAGTTTTGTGCTATTAAGGGTGCATCCCAGCCTTTTGGCTATTTTTTCTTGAATAAAACTCAGTGTGCTCATAGTGTCAATAAGGATGTGAAGCTTCTAATCCCTCACTTCTCCCACAACTCTCATAGTAGTGACCCCACTTTCCCAGTTATGGAATTCACAGTCATTTGCACCTCTTCTAACCCTTCCATCACAAGTTCTTGCTCATTCGTACCAGTGTCAGCCTGCAAATATGAGAGTTCATCGTCTTCTGTCATGATCATGTAGTTGATCATTTGCTTACACCTATGCCCATAAGTAAATTTATCATCACAATTGTAACATAGTCCTTTCTCCCTCCTAGAAGCCATCTCATTAGCTGTTAATAGCTTGGTGGGGGTTTTTGACAAAATTGTTTGGAGTCCTCTGTGTAGAGAAGCTGGTTGTCTCAGACTCTTAGTGTTTGTATAGGGTGTGAACATGGTTGGTTTGTTGAATCCCTTGACCTTCTTTGTAATTGCCTCAATAGTCAACTGTTGTTTTTTACCCAGTTCCACTGTCTGTTGTAAGTTGTGTGGGTTGAACATTGTGATGAAAGGACCTCCTCAGATAAACCACTAATGAAACTTGCAATAAAAATACTCCTCAGTGTAGTGAGCTTAGTTTAACATAATGATGCATGCCTTTAGCTCTTCAAAATTTTCAACATAATCTGTGTAACTCTCTGTCTGCTTGAGCTTGTTAAATTCAACTATAATCTTGGCTTCCTTTAACTCTTCAAACCTAACTGAAATTATTGCCAGGAATTCAGCCCATGGTAACGATTCTTTCCTCACACTGAATGTTTGATACCACTGAGAAGCTTTCCCCTCAAAATACATAGTAGCCAATGTAACCTTTTGGTCATCAGGAATGTTTGGAATTAACTTGAAGTAACTGTTACATTGAGCATCCAAGTTCTAGGGTTTGAGCCATCAAATCTTGGGAAATAAATTTTGGGTATGGGATGTAACACCTGAACCTGGGTTTGTCTTGCTGAGTCATGCCATACGAAGATTGTTGGGTTTTAAATCCAGAGCCTTCCCCAGGTCCTAAAATGGACTCCTTGCCCTTGCTCATGTTGAGCAGTTGTAATTGCATCTAAGCTATAGTGTTGGTGAGGTGCTCAAGTTTGGTTGTTAGATTGTTGTTCACACAATTGATCTGATCCTGTAATTTGGGTTATGTGGCCTCTCGCTTTAAGGTTTGTGTCTGTAGTATTTGATCGATTTATTTCTGTGCCTCTTGTAGGTCTTTGAGGCGGGTCCCATCCGCCATGGCCGAGGATCGTATGCTCTGGATACCACTGTTATGGGCAGACTTAATTTATGTAATGTTGTATTTTAATTTGAGCTTGAAGATAATAGAAACGGGGGAAACTTTAGAGAAAAGAAATGAGGGAGACGAGTAAGAGAGAGAGAGAGAGAGAGAGATTATGATTATGTCAAATTCTCTTTCATTTCTGTAAAATTCCTCTTTACATAACAAATTACATGGACCACATAATTTCTTCAACAATTCCCGATATACACTAAATTGATACTTATAAAGTAAATAACAATATTGGGCCATACTATGAGCCATTTACAACTTAAAACTAACTAATTAACATTTGCAGTCGGGCTCAATTACTTACGATCCTCGCCTGGCCCATCTACGCTTAACCCATCCTTGTTGACTTTATCTGAATTGGGACCGTCACTCCTTTTAGCCTGTTTAACCTTGTCGACAACCATAACTCCTTCACTCCCACCTCTGACGGCCAAAACACCTTCACCCTCTTCTCCGGCCATAACACTCCCATTTACGCCAATACTATATACTCTCTTTTTTTTTTCTTTCTCTAATCACAATTACAAAGGTATTATTTGAAAATGAGTATTTTTTTTCATATTTGTATTTTTTGGGAGGCGTAAGCACTTTTGACCACATTTTTACACATTGGTCCTAATGCTATTTACTTGAATGGTCAAAACGCCAATTGAGCACTAAAGACTAAAGGGTACCGTATAAAAAAGAAGACGTTAGCATGAAAAGAAAACACAATAGTTACTTTGCTTTCTTGAAATGGATATAACAATGAGTCGGTGAATCATTACTTTATTATTGTTACTTTTTCCTTTTATATAGTATTTATTTTCGACTCCTTTATACACAGCACATAATGATGATTTTCAGGGCCTCAGTCCCCCTCAAGATCATGCACCACAAACTCAAACGGCCATTAATGTATGTTCAAAGAAAGAAAAACAAATAAAAAGGATAACCACAAGGC